TCCAGCCCCTGCCCTGCCCCCCCCTCTTCTTGCCGCTCCCCTCCCCCCCCTCTCCTCGGGCGCCTGCGGGCACTGGGCGGCACAGCTGTCTTGAAGCTCCGGTGGGCTTTCGGAGGCGGTTGGGGGCAGCGCTGGCCTCCGGACGGTGTGCCTGGTCTCCGTTGTCTCTTCCGCCTTTTGTTTCTCCTTTTCTCCCTCACGGCTTCCCTCCCCCCCTCGGCATGTTACACTATGTTCCTCGACGTCTTCCTCGCTCGCCCTGCTCCTCCGCTGTACGTCGTGGCCTAAACTTCTGGTCCTCTTATTTTTCGCCTCTTCCCCCTCGGCCTCCTTCTCCTCCTCCTCCTCTTCCTCCGTCTTTTCCCCATCGTCGTCGTCGTTGTCGTCCCCCTCCTCCTCTTCCTCCTCCTCCCCATCGTCGTCGTCCTCCTTCTCCTGAGTTGCAAGACGCCGAGCTGCACCCAGGATCGCAATCGGATGGTCCAGGTTCAACCACTTGCGACCTGAGCTCACAAAAAAGCGGCTTCCATTACACAGCAGATTGAAGCTCTTCAACGGCGCGATGACACCGAGGGAGATGTATGGATAATTTTGTACACCCCCACAAAAGATACGCACATCACATTGCAGTGGGTGCAACGGACAAGTGGATGGTCCAGGTTCAACCAGCTGCGACCTGAGCTCACAAACAAGCGGCTTCCATTTCACAGCATACTGAAGCTCTTCAACGGCGCGATGACACCGAGGGATATGTATAGATGCTCCTCTTTGATCCAACAAAATATACGCACATCACAGTGCAGTGGGTGCAACGGACAAGTGGATGGTCCAGGTTCAACCAGCTGCGACCTGAGCTCGCAAACAACTGGGTTCCATTTCGCAGCATAATGAAGGTCTTCAACGGCACGATGACACCGAGCGATACAGTCGGGGCGCTGAAGAAGGAACCCTTTTCGGTGGGGAGGGGCTCGGTGTTCCTTCATTGTTTCAGAGTTTGCCTCGGGTTTTCCTGAGGTTTCCCATGGGACATCGAGGTGGAACTTGTGGGAGCAAGGGGCCTCGTTCCTGATTCAGGACCCCTCAGGTCAACGCCTCGACTGTATGTATGGATGCTCCTCCTCTTGGCCCCACCATGGAAGCGCACATCACATTGCAGTGAGTGCAACGGGGAACTTCTTGGACCCGTCGTAGGGGCGCCGACCAGAACAGACGCGAGGCAGAGCAGCACAGGCAGCTCACGAACACCGGGCAGCAACAGCACCGACGCCAGTCGGGAGCCTTGAGACGGGGGTCAGTGCAAACGGGGGTCAGCCACGGCACCGGATCCTGCAGGATCATGCGAAGACCACCTCTGGCTGACCCGGGTTAGCGAGCCGCTCGTGGCCGCGAGGCGGCCGCACATATTGGCGGACGCGGGTTTGCGAAGACCTGCGTTGCAGTTTTTGTTTCTTGCATTGGAGTTTTTGGTTTCCTGATGACCCGGCTCTGGATTGACCCGGGTCAGAAGATCCCCGAGCCAGGGCCAGACCTAAACGGTGTTTTGGCGATTTCGTGGGCCGTTTTAGTTTCGATCCCGTTTCGCGGTAAAGGCGGATCGAGGACAAAGCGAGGGAAAACGAGAGCAGAACGAAGACGGGAAACACCGTTTAGGTTCAGCCTTGACCGACGCCGCCACCGACAACAACGGCATCAACGCCAGCGCCGAATTCAGCACCGGCAGCGAGATCGGACAACGCGGCCAGAATGACGGGGACAACGGCGGCGACGAATCGAGATCTTAGGTTCATATATCCGAAGAAGTACTTCCACCGCCATGGGATTGGCGAAACGTGCACAGGTCGAAGGTTTGACGGAAATCTTTTACAAGCGCAATTTGGAATTTGTTGCCCGCGTCGCCAACCACGACCCCAACAGATGGACACGTCTGAGCGCGAGTCGAGGTCCAAGCTTGCACGATGCACGCCCAGCATTTCGTCGACACGAGGGGCAGAAGAACGCGTGGGATGACGACATCGTTCCATTCTTGCATTCGGCGAGAGACGCGGGCAGCGGTGCGCAGAGGCGGAATTTCGCTCAGCATCGACAGTGGTGGGACAGTCGAGGAGAGGACCTCCTACAGTACATTCCTTGGGTTATCCGTTCCAGCAACTATTCTTGAGACGCCGTTTCCCGTTCTTGTCCCTCCGACTCAGGCTCCTACCACTACGACCCCAGTGCTCGTATCCCCGATTCCGGCGTCCTTCCGACTCCCGCGGTCGTCTCTCCGACTCCAGCTCTCACCCCCGCGATTTTAGTTCTCCTATCTTCTGACTCCTGCGTGATTTTTCCGACTCGTGTGATCGTCTCTCCGATTTTGGCCCCTGTCCCCCGCGACTCCGGTTCTGGCATCATCCGACTCAAGCGCCTATATTTCCGACTCCTGTGATCGTCGCTTTGATTCTGGCTCTTCTCCCCGCGATTCCGGTTCTCTTTCCTTCAGCTCCTGCCCCCTTTTCTCGACTCCTGTGATCGTCTCTCCGACTGGCTTCTATCCGCACGATTCCGGTTCCCTTATCTTTCGACTCCTGCGCCTATCTCTCCGGCTTTTGCGCGCGCGTCATTCCGACCTCCTGTATTTGGGCGATCCATATACCCACGACGACAGTGGCAAGCAAGTTCCCCTCCGACTCTGGCTTCAAACCCCTCGATTCAGACTCCGACTCTTGCTCGCAGCACTTCTCTTGAGGGCCCTAGCCCCCCAGTGCTGCCATCGTAGGGCCGGTCCCGCCGGACCGACATCGCGCGTTCGTTCCTTCGCCCATCTTTATCACCATTAACCCCCCGCGCCTTGGCCCCATCATTCCCGTCATCATCTTCCCCTTGCGGCTCCCACCTCGTCGTCGGCGTCGTCGTCGTTATCGTCCTTCTCACCATCTTCGTCGTCGTAGTCGCCGTTGTTATGCCATCGTCTTGCTCCTCCTCCTCTCCGCACCTACCCAAGGGGATGCAAGGAGGGAGAGAGAATGAGGAGGATAATGAGGAGGGAAGGAGCGATGGAAATATCGGGGAAGAGGAGGAAGATGAGGAGGTGAAGAAGAAGGAGGGATAGAGGAAGAGGAGGAGGAGGAGGAGGTGGAAAAAGTGGGATGGAGGATGAGGAGGAGGAGGAGGAGGAGGAGGGTGGGGAGCAGGAGAAAAAGGAAGAGAAGGCGTGAGTTAGTGAGGAATGGGTTTGTGAGTGAATGAAGGATTTAGTAAGTGTGTGAGTATCCCTGGGAGCTCCGATGATGCTGAGCATCCTTCTTTGTCTTCTTTTTGTTATTCTTATGACGAGGAGGATTAGGCAAGACACGGCCAGCCCTTAGGAGTGGCTGGAGACCTGCTACGAGAACGACATTGTCTACTCCACCGCGGAGTTCCCGCTCGGATTCATCGACAGCCTTCCAGAGTTCGTGCAGCAGGCTGTGGAGCCGATTGCTTACGGAGTAATGACCCAGGCATTGAAGATGAAGGTGGACTTCGAGACCGAGCTTCGATGGGAGCGCTCTGACTACGACAACAGCAAAATCCTGCAGGTCAGGGCTATGCCGCAGGCGCCGCTCGTGCGGCATCCCCACACGGGCGACCGGGCAGGAGTACCTTCTTCGTTGTCGTCGCCTTTGTTTCGACGATGTCGCAAGAAGTTCGTTCCTCCTCGCTCCCTCTAGCCTCCGTCCCCTCGGCTCCCTCGAATTTGCTAGGGGGCCACATGCGAACCCTACCCCTACCCCCCACGATTTCTGAGGGGGAGGGTGGGGTTCACTTCGTTCGGAAGCTCCCGAACGAAGTGAACCCCACCCTCACCCTCAGAAATCGTGGGGGGTAGGGGTAGGGTTCGCATGTGGCCCCCTATTTGGTCCCTCCCTCCCCTCCTCGATCGAGTTTTTGTTTCCTTCCGCTCGCTCCCCTTTTGTTCAGGATGCAGCTCCTGGGAGATTATAAGTTCAGCATCGGCGCTTGTACAGCCGTGGTCGAAGGCCGGCTTCATCTGGCATCATCCCAGTTCGTTCCGGTCAATCCCGCTGGATCCCATAAAATGACGCGAAGATCGGGACAAAATCGGATCGGGATAACTCGAAATCTCTGAGAATCGGCGGGTTTGGAGGATGTATGGGGCGCCGCGGCCGCTCCAGAGCGTTCCGGAACGCTCTGAGAGCGCTCCGGAACGCTCTGGAGCGATTTATCCCGATCCTAGCCCTGTTTTATCCCGTTGAATCCGGTTTGATATGGCTTCATCTGGGGCGTAATTTGGGCGAATCTCGGAGGTTGATACAGGCGGCCCGGACTAGTAGGTCGACCCTGCCAGATCAAGGGTACCCTCGTGTCCTGTGTCTCACGACCCGTGCCTCCTGCATTCCAATGGCAATGTGGCCCTCGGAAGGGTCTTGTGTCCTCTCGCGTGTCCTCTCCAATCGAGCCCGACTGCAGACCTGCTACCCTGACACGTCGATTAGCGAATTGGCCGTTTTCGGTCCGCGAGAGGGCGTCGCGGCCGTCATTTTTGCGGGTCCAGGTCCGTCGGTTTCGGTCCTGGACCGTTTTCACTGAAGGGTGGTTTGCCACAGGGAGGTTTGTCCACCGCCGATCATCGGGCTCAACGGCACCTTCATCGGGCACGTTAGCACTTGATCGTTCTTGCGAAGACCTTCCAGAAACTGCCCACTAGTTCCCGCCCTTCCCTCTCCTCTCCTCCCCTCCTCCCCTCGTCCTCAGGTGAGCCGTGCTGGTGGGGCTCGATGCATTCGCACGCGGAGTACCTGCGGAGGGATCGCGAGAAGGTGTATGGCGAGGCCCAGGAGACGACGGGCGCCTCTCGGATCAACAAGACGGACGTTTTTTACGGCAAGACCGGCCAGAAGGTGGAAATTGACCGGCTTAAGCATCTGGACGAGGTCACAACGAAGGCGGCCAAGAAGATTCTGATGAAGCCGGGGGACATGGTCCTGCTGGACAACTATGCAGCTGCCTGCAGCAGACTCCGCCCCCGTGCCGGCGTGGCTTCGGAAGGCATGCTCTCCAGAACGGGCTGGAAAGCCACAAAGAACATACCAGACCGACATTCTGACACGCCCCAGGGATGAGCAGGAAGAGGATGATGATGATGTTGATGAGGATGATGATGATGATGCTGGTTATGAATATGATGATGTTGATGATGATGCTGATGCTGATGCTGACGATGGTGATAATGGTGATGAGGCTGGTGATGAATATGATGATGATGCTGATGCAGGTGATGATGACGATGGTGATGCTTACGATGATGATGATGATGATGATGATGATGATGATGATGATGATGATTACGATGCTGATGATGCTGATGATGATGATGATGATGCTGTTGATGATGATGATGATGATGATGATGATGATGATGATTAGTCGGATAATGCTGATGATTATTATGAACATGATGATGCTGATGATGATGCTGAACTTGATGATGATGAACTTGATGATGATGTCGATGGCGGTGAATAGTATGATGATGATGATGCTGATGATGATGATGATGATGATGATGATGATGATCACGATAGTTATGCTGATTACGATGATGATGATGCTGGTGATGGTGTTTATGACGATGCTGATGGCGGTGATGATGCTGATGATGATGCTGATGATGGTGATGCTGATGCTGATGCTGATGATGATGATGATGATGATTACGATGATGATGATGATGATGATGATGATGATGATGATGATGATTCTGCTGGTTATGCTGATGATGCTGATGCTGATGCTGATGCTGAGTATGCTGTGGATGCTGATGATCATTATTATGATGATGATGCTGATGATGATGATTATGACGCTGATGATGATAGAAATGATGATGATGATGATGATGATGATGATGATGATGATGATGATGATGATGATGATGATGATGATGATGATGATGATGATGATGATAAATATGGTGATGGTGATGCTGATAATGATGATGAAGATGAAGATGCTGATGATTATCATGGTGATGCTGATGATTGTGGTGAGATGAGGAGGAGGAGAATGAGGAGGAGGAGGTGGAAGAGGAATGTGAATTGGAGGAGGAGCTGGAGAAGCAGGTGGAGGAGGAGGAGGAAGAGTAGTTGGAGAAGGAGGACGAGGATGAGGAGGAGGAGGAGGAATGTGAGTTGGAGGAGGAGTTGGAGGAGGAGGAGAAGAAGAGTAGTTGGAGGATGAGGAGGAGGGGGAGGACGAGGAGGAGAGGAGTCTCCCGAGGCGCTAGGAGGCCTCCAGGAGTCTCTGCATGAGGTCCCGCTAGAGGTTCCAGGAGGCATGCGGAAGCCCAAGGCATACCAGGTCTTCCCAAAGAACAAAGCATTCCAACAAACTGGTAATCGATCCTCGATCCTCCCCGAGGGGCCCTCGATCCCAGATCCTTGAATGGTCGACGCAAGTAAACGGTGTCGTCTGTGCCGACATTGGCGCGTAAGCTGCCCGCGTGAGGTTGCGCGTAAGTGCCCTCGCTTCCAATGTGGCGTGACGCGCCAGCGGCCCGCGTACGCCGCGGCGTAAGTTCGCTGTGTCATCTCGCGTAAGACCCTGCTGATAGTCGCTCAAATTGCCCGAAGCCGGAATCTTCGTTCGATCTTAGAGGGCACCCGTCACGATGGCGCGGGTGGCGGATCTCGTGATGCACGGGCGATGTCCGTTCGAGGGCACCCGCCTTCATGCCGTGTCGTGGCTCTCGGGGGAGAATAGCCAAGTTCTCTTACGCGCCTCGCTTTTCGAATCGACGCAGTCGGACGGCGTTAGGACGAGGATACAGCCGTTCCAGAGCCTTCCAGAACGCTCTCGCAGTGTTTTGGAATGCTCTGAGAAGGCCGTGGCGCCCGAGACATCCTCCAGAGCCGCAGGATCTCAGATATTCTCGATTTATCCTCACCCGAATGCATCCTCGTCGTGGCTTTCGTCTTGCCCAGCGTGTCAACCATCCGCCTTTTGACGGCAAGCGCCAGCAGAAACCCAGCACCAGCCACCGGCGTTGTGGTCTTGCAGGATTCGGTTCCGCCACCGCAGACGTCGCCGCCGTCGTCGTGAGAATGGCAGCGCAGACATCCGGCTGCTCAGAGTTTTGTCCACGCGTGGGCCCCCGAGGTCTGGACCACTTCCCGTCCCGAGGGGCCGGCCTCCAGGGACCTTCGCGACCTTCGCGACCACGGCGGAGGAGGAGGAGGAGGAGGAGGAGGAGGAGGAGGAGGAGGAGGAGGAGGAGGGAGGAGGAGGAGGTTCCCCAGGGCCAGCTTCTCGTCCCGAGTCGGTCTTGGACCGCCCAGACGCCAGGCGAGGGCCCCCGCAGGCCGAGCTCGGCCGAGATTCGCCCCCGCTCCCAAGTGGTGTTGGAGCGCCGGATCTCTGGGCAACTCAGCTCAAGGCTTCCGGGTTGGGGTCCGAGCAGGCGGGGTCGAAGGATCGTTCCGCATCGCCGATGCATCGGCGAGGCGGCTCGATGTGGTGCTCGATTTGCTTCACGTCGACGTCGCCGATGCATCGCCGACGTCGACGATGCATCGCTGGTGCATCGCCAATGCATCGCCGATGCATCGCCGATGTGTCGGCGATGCGGCGCGATTCTCCAACCCCATCTACTCCGCCAGCCCCACGCCTGTGACCCGCCAGCACCCGCCGAGCGGGGGGAGGAGGAGGAGGACGAGGAGGAGGACGAGGAGGAGGACGAGGAGGAGGAGGAGGAGGAGGAGGACGAGGAGGACGATGAGGAGGAGGACGAGGACGAGGACGAGGAGGAGGAGGAGGAGGTCCCTCTCGGCACCCCGAGGTTCAATTCGCCCGACTACAACAAGGCCGAGAGGTAGCCTCTCTTCCGCCTGTCCTCGCGGGCGGACCTCCAAGGGCAGCCGGCGAGGGGCGGCCCTGCCGGATTGCGCCCCTCGCCGCGCGCTCCCGCCTGCGCTCCTCCGCCCGTCCCTCCCTAGAGATCCGACGCTCTAAACATCTCCCTGCCTCCCTCCCTCCCTCCCTTCTTCCCCCCCTCCCTCCCTCCCTCCCTCCCTCCCTCCCTCCCTCCTCCTCCTCCTCCTCCTCCTCCTCCTCCTCCTCCTCCTCCTGCTCCCTCCCTCCTCCCTCGTCCTCCTCCTCCTCCTCCTCCTCCTCCTCCTCCACCTTCTCCTCCCTCTCCTCCTCCTACATTCCTTTCCTTCTGAATCACTTCTCCCCGTCGCACCCAGAGGCCAATCTTTAGGGCGTGCCGGGCGTTTCGCGTGAGACTTCCGCACCACTGATGACCCTGAGGCTGAAGAATTGACAACAGCTTCACAGATGGTGGACAGGTGGTTTTCAAAATGTTGCACTCGCCTTAGCGCCGCGCACACTCGTTTTAAACATTTGCAAGGGCTTCACGGATTGAGGGCCG